TTGCTCTTGCTCAGACATGTAATTGCCTGATCCGATTTCAACAAGGGATCACTCACACTTGTGCTTTCCTCAGTGTATTTTGGCTTGCCCATAATTATGAGCGAATTCGGGTGAGAAACTTCCGTTGTGAGTGTGCTCTAATAGATTCGGTGTGAACATGGACACACGAAGCACTCAGAGAGATCAAGATCCAAACGCCTCCCCTTGCGTCCTTTGGTTCACCTTCCTAACCAAGCCGCACTGCCACTACGCTGCTACCCTGCACTGCCGTTACACGCCAGAATCTGTGCCGACATCTCCCACATCGGCCGTAGCCTATCGTCCCCCCGCCTCCTCTCTCTCTCTCTCTCTCTCTCTCTCTCTCTCTCTCTCTCTCTCTCTCTCTCTCTCTCTCTCTCTCTGTGTGTGTGTGTGTGTGTGTGTTTGCGCGCCGCCCGCGTATGCAGATGCTGTGCATGGGTGCTTGCATAAGGCGCGATCACTGCAACTCGCAGCAGGCACATCTTAGTCCATGGCTGCCGCACTGGAGCAGCCTGAGGGGGAAACGCTGTACACGGACAGAGGCAAAGGTACTGAGCGCCTTCTGTTGCCACCTCTCTCTCTCTCTCACTGCGTGCTTCACATTGGCTAAACATGACTCCCTGAAGAAAGCATGCTCTCACCCAGTGGCCTGCTGGTGCAGTGTGTGAAATTTTGCGACAGTGCTATTATGTAGTACTTGGCGTAACTCGGGAAAGGTCCGCTCTTGTTAAATCAACAGTAACACTTCAATCCGCGCTCCCCATCTCTCTCTCTCTCTCTCTCTCTCTCTCTCTCTCTCTCTCTCTCTCTCTCTCTCTCTCTCTCTCTCTCTCTCCATATTTTTACTGATCGCACTCTGTCCTGTGTGACTTGAAGGGTCTGCCAGATCAGCGTCAGATACATGCCGTCGGAGCAGCGCCCTTACTTCCTGATTGGAGGAGGTAGGCGTTTCTCCGCTTGCAGCTCGTGATCGGCCGCTTCACTTCGTCTCTCTTCTCCGTACTCGCGGCCTCATGGCTTTCCTAAGTTTGCCCCCATTCGTTGCTGCTGTACAAGCTTGCACCTCAAGAGTTCGATTTGCAGAACGAACGAGTATCTCTTTCTCGCCAGCTCACCTTCCTTAGTCGGCCACTTCACTTCACCGTGTGTGGCACGTCTCTTGCAGACGAATGATCGAGCCCGGCATGTACGGCCTGTGCTTTATGGATTTCACGCGTTAGAACCACCGCTCCGGCGCTCAGGAGCGAGGAGTAGCCTGAGCAATCACCTTAGGGAATAGCCTTTTTCTTTCTCTGCGGAATTTGGCGGCGGTTTCGTTGAGCGGGAAACGAGTGGTTGAGCCGTCGAGTGCTTTTTTTTTGGAGTTTCGATGAGAGTTTCCTTGAGCTTGAAAGGACTGGTTGAGCGCAATGAGCGGCAACTTGAGCCATTGAATGCCCGCGGGTATACTCACTCACTCTTTTGACATATCTATTTTTGGAGGTATCCTGCCGCGTTTTCGTGCGGCATTCGTTCCACTTTACCCGCCGGTGGTCCGTTGCGATTTCGGGCCACTTTTTTGGTCAATACAGACCTTGGCGCTCAATTCGCCGTAGATATTTTTCGAATTTTCCATGGCGGGATTGGTGCCAGTAGCTTCCTACAAATTCAAGTTCCAATTCTCGCGCGGGAGTCGCAAATTTCGCAACCCCGCCCAGTGATATTAGCAACCTCCTGCATCGTTTTCAACAGCTTTTCACTGGGTATAAGAAGCGCTCACTGTAGAACCACGAGCAACCTACAGCTCACTCCGTACGGCAGAGCCGGCGTCTTATGTTTCTGCTACACAATGATCTTGAGATATTGGTCACAAGGCAGTGACCAAAACCTCTCTCTCTCTCTCTCTCTCTCTCTCTCTCTCTCTCTCTCTCTCTCTCTCTCTCTCTGTGCCATACCTCTGCAGTGACACCTGGACAGTGGCACGGCGTCGGGGGAGGTACAACAAAGTACAACAAAATTGATGATGTATCCACGACGAAGGTGAGGAGTTACATTGATGTAGAGAGATCCCATGGTACCTTGCTTGATGCTATCAACTGTACGCTTCTAGTAGTAATCTGACCGGAAATGTGTGTAGGATGGATAAGAGAGATCACAAGGAATCTCAGCAAGGCAAATAGAGGAGAGATGCTGGGAGTTCTGTTTGCGTAGCGTGTTCTTTTTTTTTTATACGGAAATGGATTCAGGGTTAGTACGGAAATTTAGTTGGCGTTTAAGCGCATTTCGGCGCTGTGCAGTACATTTGATTCCGCAGTAATATTGATTATTGTGATGCTCGATTTTGGCCTTTTTTGTTGCGAATATGAAATAATATGCCCGCGAACTTGAGGTTTCCTTGGGAGAAATTGATAATTCATGTCTACGAAAACGCGATTCGATTTCCGCGATATTGATAATTCAAATTGTTTAAGAAAACAGTTCCAAGTGCTTCTCCGCTGACGTGGCTGCCGAGTTTGCTGCGTCAAAGGAGTTTAATTAGTCGACAGAGTCTGAGCACGTGGGCTACACGTGGCTGGGTTTCGCAGACGTGGCTGCCGATGACTCGGAAAACGGAAGAGATTGAAGCAAGGGTCCATGTACAGCCCCATCAGCCGGTGGCACTGTGTATATGAATCCTGTGGGACCTGTACCAGATCGCGCTTAGATGCATTACATCCGAGCAACGCCCGTACGACCTGATGCATTGGGAGAAGGGAGGCGCTTCTTCTCCGCTTCTCAGCTGTCCCTTGCACTCGTTTTGTGTCTCTTCTCCGCTCTCCCAACCTACCTCATGCTCTCCTTGTTGCGCTCGCAATGAACTTGGACAAACGGTATGGTAGGTGAAATCGATAGTCCAGTTTTGTCAATGACTATTGCGTTGCCGCTGTACAAGCCGCCGTCGTCAAGGTTATCACTTGTTTGTTGAAGCAAAGAACACCCCCCTTTTATGCTCATGTGCTGATGTCAATTCCGCCCTGAGCAGTCTCTTGCTGAGGAATGAGCGAACCGCCGTTTGAACGGCGGACGTCCCTATGGATTGCGGAGTTTGCGTTAGAACCGCCGTACGAGTTTGATCAAACAGCTGCCGGGTACCTCTTCTTTGTTTTCCATTTCAGTTTTGATCTTTCGATAAGTTCTTTTCTTTTTCTTTTTTTTTTTTTCTTTTTTTTTTTTTT